CCATAGGACAAAGAAGACAGACATAACCTAGTAAGTCAAGCTGTTGTAGCACCGTGGGGACACAGAGCTGGATTGGGCCTCTGAAACATGCTAGAGATTAAAAGAAATGTGTTGCATCAAGGCTTGTTGAGCTGATATCAAGGGGCCAAAAATGTTCAGGGCACCCGAGCCTTCCACTGATGTGCTGAATTTTATCAAATGATTTATATCAAAGGATGGACATGAGAAAGGGACTGCAAAATGTGCCAATTTTAATGAACTGTCAAGAAGAACATCACCCAAAAAACAGTAGACAAGGCAGACCCAAAATATATCACAAATGCCACATAATTACATGTAGTATTTGCACAGTTAATAACATACATTAAATTGAAGATGGCGATCAAAAGATGGATTGTAATTTGTAAAACATATAACATTTGTATTCAAGTTGATTAAAACCCTTGCTCTTCCCAAAGACAAAGCTACAGACTGTTTAAAGCTACTCTTTAAGTCAACATAGCATTTGCATTTCATATTCAAAAGAAAAGACCTTTTTAAATTTACTCCTTGCATTTTGTGGGCATGTCACATGGTGTTTGTTTGTTTTCTGTCAGCACTCTTCCAATGGAATTGTACTCCAGCGCCCTCCAGTTGATCAAATTCCCTGGGGTGAAGTTTAGATCATCCACGTAGTGCTTGATCTCACAGGGTGAAAGGACGTAGTTCCACATGTGGACATCAGACATCATGCCAACAAAAGACTGCTTACTGTCAAAACTCCCGCCATGGTTATCCTGGTCCTGTAGTGATTGCAAAGAGTTAAGATAAAAACATTTTATCTTACAGACTTAAAATTAACACAAAATGTATCAATATACAGAAATTTCTGGAATTCTATGAACTATGTTTATCACTTAAACTCACTTGTCCGAGGATAACAATGGGGTGTTTGATTTCTGATCCACCAGCAAATTTCTTAATTGTAGGCTTTCCATCTAACCACAGCTGCACCAGACCAGAATCAGAGTCCCATGTAGAACAAATAGACTGCCAAGCGTTCAGTTTGTAGTCCAGCGCTCCAAATCCTGTCTTTTCATTCTGGACATGGACTTGAATCACATCACTAGTAGGTTTGAATATCAGGAAGGCATTGTGAGCAGAGGATATGGACAGTGAGAATAGCGCGTGGTTTCAGCTGAGGTCTGTAATGGATCTGCAGGAAGTGAAAGAAAAAAAGAAAAATCAAATATGATGCTTTTATAGTCAGAATAAAGTGAGTTCATTCAAGCATTTTGCACTTAAAACATTACCTGAGACAGACAGTTGCAGCACTGAAACTGTGTGCTGATGTTGTCAATCTCACATTAGCTGTACTGGTTTCTTCTGGGAAGACGAACATTTTACCAGACAAATCTACAAAAAAAGAAAACAGAAAAATGCTAAATGTCCATGTAAGTTAATGAACAAATTATATAGCATACAATGCAAAGTGTTTCAGATGTGATAACAACCCCAGAACCTGCTGAATCTACTGGTTGGTGAAAGTCTTTTTACAAAAAATGTGGAACATACGGACGCAAATGAACCACTGATTCTTGAAATCTGATGGGATACGTATGAGAACTGCTCCCCATGTGGCCACTTCATCATTTAAGATTGATGAATGTTATGAAGATTTTAGGAAGCTAAGTAAACATGCATGATTAACAAAATCCCTTTTCTGTTTTGCACAGATTTAAAGGTGGGTTTCTCCTGCAAACAGAATCATTAATTCCTTGCAGAAAGTGGAAAGAACACCTGCTTTGATGTCAAGTCTGTGAATTAAACAAATGAATATCCGGTTGGAATATGATAAATGTGTATAAGTATAACATATTTTACAATACACACTAAATAAATGTATTATGTACAGTGTAAAACAAACTTAAAAAATGAAAAAGAGTTGAATAAAATTCTATTATAATGTTAAAATATTTGTACAACATTTAATCTAAACTGAGAAGCATAGTAGATTCACTCAACATATGTAATTGAGACATACATTCCACATGTTTTTCCAAGTTGCAAAATATAGCTGTTTTATCCTATTAATTTCACAAAGTGTTTGCAAATGATAAGGTGAATGACACTGTCTATATGTGTATGTATGCATGTTGTGAAATTCCCTCTTGTTTTCCCTTTGTTAATTAAGCATATATGTTTTACCTTCAGGACTTGCAGCACATGCTGTCAGCATCACCAGGAGAAGAAGAAATGCCATCTGATACAAGGACAAATAAAGAGAGATTAAGGGAAATGCTAGTGTAAATCCACTAAATCAAATCCTCTTGAGACGGTATTAACTACCAGTGTACACTTACACAATTGCATGACACAGTATACAGCACAATACAGATTAAAAAAGTGCAGTGACCTTAATTAATACTCTGAATGTATTTTGATCTTACCTTTGAGTCTGTGTCAGGATGTTGTGCAAAACAGT